AATCATCCTGTATGACTTGTAGTGCCTGGCACAGAGGAGATACTCAAAACGTGTGTTCACAACTACAGCAGTGCTCAGCGTCAGGGACACTGATCTGCTCTGCTGCTGGCCTGGGCATGCCTTGCCTTCATTGCCCAGTGCACCCAAGGAGAATTACATAAGTCACCAACTATCCCTGTGCTTTCTCCTCTTTTGTAAACACCACAACAAGGTTTTAAAAAAGATACAAAGGAATTATGAGTCACAGGGCTATAAAACATAATGAACTGTCTTAATTTTGCTACACTTTCCAGGAAAATTAATTTTATAAAACGATTTTTTTTGCTTGAAAATAACCAACAGTAGTGAAGCCACAGAAACTTGTATGATTTAAATTTTCTTAAAAATTTCAAGGGAAATCTAGTGTTGATAACAGTATCTTGCTGGCAGCAGTGTCTTCAGTTAGCAATGGCATTTTCTCCCATGTGCTTTGTGGAGAGAAAGGGAATGGGGGTTTGGAGACACAGTCTCCCTGTGCAGTCCAGGCAGACTTAGCACTTGAGATCCTCTTTCCTCAGCCACCTGAGTATTGGTATTACATGTGTGCAGGAGACCAGCAGGCTGTTACAAAATCAAGTTGGAGACAGAGACACCCAATGTTCCTGTACCATATAAACTCCATCTTTTCTGGCTTTCTGAGCCATCTGAATGTTACACGAGTGAGAAAAGACTGACTTAGAGGCAGTTATTGAAAGCCACTGACACTGCTGAGAGTGTCACTGTTGATAGTGTACCTACCTATCAAATAGGTAGTTATTATACTTGTTATGACTGCTTGGAGCGTAGGAGTGCTAGATGGTGAGTTAGGGAGAAATTAATGTTCTAATTTAATTTAGTCAGAAAGTAAGTACACAACACTCCAAAGAGCATACAGTTACATCTTTATTTAGCTGTGTAACCTTACTTGATTTTTTTTCATTACTCAGGTTCTCCAAAAAGGAAAAAAAAAAAAAAAAAAAAAAAAAAAAGCCTGACCAGGAGTATATGGAGAATTAGTTAATACTTGCAAATGGTTTAGAATAACACCTGGGATATAGCAAGCACCACACAAGCATCTGTTAAATAACCCTGAGGAGTGGCAAGAATGACTGAGTTATACAGAATGGCTTGTCAGGAAGTTTTTAGAATAAAGGCGACATGGCCTTCAAAGGGAACAAGCTCGAGAGCAACCAGAAACAACATTCACTCCTTCAACATTCCTTGCAACTCCCTGATAGGCAAGCTGAAGCCTGGTGGCCATGAAGGATGGATGCCCATTTGAAAGGACACATGGACCAGTGGCTGAGACATAAAGGAGGCCCAGGTGAGAACAGGAGTAAAGGAACACGCACACAGAAAACATGATACTCTTTCTGTGGTTTCCACAGCGCTCCGTAAGCACCGTACTGCATCCCAGTTACTGGGAGGGAGAGACAATCTTGGCCATGTGCAGTCTCCTGCACAGCTCAGTAGGGGTGTGTCCAAGAAAAGCCTAAGGAAACAGTGAAGACTGCACACGATCCTACTGGACACAACTGTCCCACACCACAATATTAGTCTTCCACAGTGCCTTGTAGTCCAAAGGCAATGTGTGGGATGTGAAGAGTAGAGATCCTGAAGTACCCAAGGATATACTACTCTAAGTAAAAATGTAGCCTGCCTCATGGAGGTAGCTAAAAGTACACTGTGGTGATGCTGGCTCAGAAACCTCTCAGGCATTTCCCCTAACCTCTTCTGCCAGCCCATCCACATGCATTCAGTGTTGGCTCACACAAACTGAACTCACCAGCAATTTTTTTCTTTCCTTCTTTCTGTACAACCAATCCACCTACCAAATTCTTCTCTGCTTTCTTCTCTCACACAGTCCCCTTGCTAATCTGTCTGTAACTGCTGCAGAATCACTCTGGGGTCACCAACAGAGACTCTTACACGGATTCTGCTACATCTGCCTCATTTACTTTAGTGATCAGCGTTCTCTCTATCTAGATACTACCCTGTCTGTGTAAGGTAATAAGAACTTATCGAGGGCTGCACGCATAATCCCCTTATGCCACTCACATCAGCCATAGCATTTCTCACTGAAATTTGCTTCCTTTGAACATAGTTTCTAAAATGTTTCCTGAGGTGTGCATTTCCCTGTTTGGGACAATTTAATCAATCTTTTATTTCTGGCTATTCAAATAGCTTTGGCTATTTTTTTTCAGTTTTAATTTATTTTATTTTACTAATTAGAGTTTATTCACTTTGTATCCTAGCCTCCTCCCCCATGCCCTGCCAATCCCACCCTCCCTCCTTCTTCTTTTTCTATGTCACTCCCCCAGTCCAATGATAAGGGACATCTTCCTCCCCTTCCATCTGACCATAGTCTATCAGGTCTCATCAGGACTGGCTTGTCTTCCTTTGTGGACTGGTAAGGCTGCTCCCCCTTCAGGGGGAGGTGATCAAAGAGCAAGCTCATGAGTTCACGTCAGAGATGGTCCCTGGTCCTATTATTGGGGAACCCTCTTGGATACTGAGCTGCCTTGGGCTACTTCTGCACAGGGGTTCTAAGTTATCTTTATGCATGGTCCTTGGTTGGAGTATCAGTCTCAGAAAAGAGCCCTGTGCACAGATTTTTTTTTGGTTCTGTTGCTCCCCTTGTGGCGCTCCTGTTCCCTCCAGGTCTTTCTATTTCCCCCTTCTTTCATAAGATTCCCTGCATTCTGCTCAAAGTTTGGCTATGCATGTCAGCATATGTTTTGATACCCTGCTGGGTGGAGTCTTTCAGAGGCACTCTGTGATAGGCTCCTGTCCTGTTCCCTGTTTTCTCCCTCTTCAATGTCTGTCTCATTTGCCTTTCTGAATGAAGATTGATCATCTCACCCAGGGTCCTTCTTGCTTAGCTTCCTTAGGTGTACAGATTTTAGCATGTTTATCCTATATTATAAGTCTAATATCCACTTATAAGTGAATATATATCATGTGTGTCTTTCTGCTTCTGTGATACCTCACTCAGGATGATCTTCCCACCATTTGCCTGCAAATTTCATGATTTCTTTGTTTTTAATTGCTGAGTAGTATTTCATTGTGTAGATGTACCACAATTTCTTTTTTTTTCCATAATTTCATTATTCTTTTTTTATAATTTTTATTTTTTTATTATTAGTTACATTTTATTAACTCTGTATCCCAGCTGCATCCTGCTCCCTCATTCCCTCTCAAACCCTTCCTCCCTCCCTCATCTCCTTCCTGCCCCTTTCCAAGTCCACTGATTGGGGAGGACCTCCTCCCCTTTCATCTGACCCTGTTTTATCAGGTATCTTCAGGACTGGCTGCAAAGTCCTCCTCTGTGGCCTAGCAGAACTGCTCCTCCCTTGAGGAGTGGGGAGGTCAAAGAGCCAGCCATTGAGTTCCTGTCAGAAATAGTCCCTGTTCCCCTTACTATGGGAAACCAATTATACCACAATTTCTGAATCTATTCCTCAACTGAGGTACATCTGGGTTGTTTCCAGAATCTGGCTATTACAAATAAAGCTGCTACAAACATGGTTGAGCAAATGTTCTTGTTGTATACTTGTAGCTTTGGCTATTAATATACTAGTTCACTCTTAATCCTCTAAGCTCCATGTGTCATTACTCATACATAATTGTATCAGTTTGGTCCCCTCTTGATTTTCTGTGTTGATACATGAGTGCTTTCTCCTTAACACAGCCTATATGTACCTCATTGGGAGGGCGCATGCATTCCTTTGGCTTACTTATTTAATAAGTATTACTGACTCCATTGTTTCAGATGACAACAATGGACAAGACAGGTCCAGTCTCTAGCCCTTATGTAATTTACATTCTAAATTCTAGTAATATGTACATGCTGTGAATAGTGAAAAATAATAGGAAGTACTGTGAAGAAAAGCAGTGGGATAGGAAATCATGAGAAAGTTTTATGAAAATGCCCCAGAGCCGAGACTGAAAGGACAAAATAAAAGCCAACAGGCAGATGAGGTCTATAGGAGCTTGGTATCTGAAGGGATGGACGAAAGGCCTGGCACATACAGTGCAGATGGCAGAAAGCGAGTCAGGAGACCAGCTGCCGAGGATAGGCTGGTTTGCTGTTGCAGGCACTGAGCCACAGTCAGGAAGCACTGTGTAAGGGAGTGTGCACTGTAGGCAGCCTCTTGGTGTCACAACACACCACGTGGCCTGCTCAACAAGGCCACGTCTGAACCTTTGTTGTTGCTTGGTTTTAGAACAATGCTCAATACCCAATCTATAAACACACACACACACACACACACACACACACACACACACACACACACA